TATGCAAAGTAGAATAGAAATGTGCGTATGTCAGTCGCACATAGACGCCCCTTGATGATTTTATGCGTTTCTCAAGCGCCCTGAACAGAACTTCTACGTAACCCGCCGCACCCTCAAGTATTAAACGCGTCTCTGTTGCACATTCTCCCCATGCGATTGTGAAATATCAGACGGAATTATTACTTGAACGTTATCGCGTACAAGTAAATCAAATTTCTCCAAGACAGTGTCATTGGGAATGCAGGCCAAACTTGAGAGAGAAGTTTTAACAATAGGATACTTGACAACCATGTCCAAACCAGATCATAGAATAAACCTATAAACGCGAGAAAGACTTTTATCTATTAACATTTTTGCAAAGCGTAGCGTTATACGTGATTAACAATCACGTGACCCGTAGCTTGTGGAGTGTAATACATTGCAATAGCGAAGCAGCCTCCCGCCATTTTTAAATGGTAATATTTCCAATTGGAGAAGGCTTTCGAAAACTTATCTTGTACAATAAGGTTGAATTTAAATTATTTCCCTTCCTACAACGTTTTATAACATGCAGTTACGTCACTTTGGAAATAAGCTAATCAATTATGAACAAGACATACACACATACAGACCCCTCTCTTCCCAAATTCATGATATTTACGTTACGATATCTATAAACAAATGGTTCCAAAAGACCAGGGAAAGCTAACATCTCAAAATAATTGCGGAAAACTTGCCTTAAAAAGGCTCAAAAAACCGGCTTAAAACATCTTAAAAAAGACCAACATGTGGGTTAAATAAATTGAAAAAGACACATAATAATTGCAAATTACACAAATTGCAATGAAAAATTCTCTCCGAGCAGAAAAAAATACAAAAGACCTTCACAATATGTGTTGAGGAAAGGGAAAAGACCTTTCGAAAAGAGTGAAATGTATAAATATGGAAATAATAATAATAATAATAATAATAATAATAATAATAATAATAATAATAATAATAATAATTAAAGAAGGAGTAAGACAGAAGAACTAGTTGGACGACGTGACAACATTACGCACCTTCTAAATCATTGTTTTAAAAATGAAAATTGTTACGTACTGAACCCTCACCTTAGGCCAGAACCTGAAGTGTACTTTGGGGTAATGCAGACCCGTCAGGACGGCTCTAGTATTATCGCTTCAATTTCATTTTACATATATTTCTAGTTTTAGTTCGTTTCTGACCACCCTCCTACGAAGTAGGGGCTACCACAAGCACCGAATCTTCGCTTAATCCTTCCTTCGCTGCACTAATCTCCCCAGCTCTCCCAACACACTCCCGGATTTCCAAATTCCCTTCGCTTGCTCTCTGCATGTTCCCACAGCAACGAATCAAATATCTGTTAATTGAAAAAGTCCACTTTATTTGAAATATCTGCCCCTCTTTTTTCACCTTTTTTCAAAATAATCTAAATATCTCTCAAACTACATCTCTAACAGATATTGGAATCATTATTCTCACACTTTCACCGTTATTATTTATTAGACTAATTGTCAGGAACTAATACGATTGGAAACGAAGACACGTCCTCGAAAATGACGGTACGTGACTTTCGAGGTCTGTACTATTTTCACTCTGAAAAAAAAAGCTTTAAAATCTGAAACTGCGATGATCTTTTCTGCCTATTGTCTTAAATAAAATGCTGACTTCCCTGCTCTCCCACATCTACAAAATCGATTTTCAGCGCAAAATGTCCTAAGTGGACATTAATTATATTTACCGAAAAAAATCAACCAATCAACCAAAAGACTAACTTCAGTCTATTTATACTGAAATGTTTAAAACTGGTCTTACACGTTATCAGTTATGATTTCGGATGTTTATTGATTTATTAATTTTAGAGCCTGATTGTGAGTGAAGCCACACGCGATTGCAAATGCAAAGTTCCATCGTGTCATGGGTTTGCTCTCGCTAGGCCCAAGGAAGAACACATTTTAAGGACTTATTTACGACCGATGCAGATCGCCCAATCGGGAAACGTTACAGTCATAAATACGCGGAGGGAAGCTAACATTATTGCAGCTGTTCTAAAATCGATCAAAGTAGTAGCTTGATGTATTTTAGGAGATGGAACGTTATTCGCTGGCAAGCTGGAAACTTTTTAACAGAATAATTTTACAATTCTACGGAAGAAACCTGTTTAAGAATATAAATAAACTTTCTTCGAAGTTATGAATTATCACTTTACATAAATTTCTTATCACTTAGATGGGAAAAATATAGTGTATATTCTATACATAGTATAGTGTATACAGTATGTAACACTGTACACTACATAATGCAAGAAAAGTTCAAAATATGGCGACATGTACAGATTAATGAAGACGATTTATTATTTCTATTGCCGAAGTGAAGCAATGATTGCGACAAAAGAAGATTATTTCAAACAAAAACATAAATTGCAATGCAGATATTCAGTAATTTTAACCACTATGACGTTTTAAACACGGGTTAAATGTTATAATTTTCAATGAAACGCATTTTTATTAAGGACCTTTTATTACCTTGGCTTTACAGCTCAACCTGAATACTTCTTTGAAATACGAACGCCCGAGCTAAAATCGAGGTAATGTTCATTGTATTTCATAGCCACAAAAGGTATCTCCAGGAGAGGAGACTCCGTTTCCGAGCATTATCTCGCAGCAGCAATTATTCCGGGCGCGTTTTCCAAACTCCACTACATTTAGAAACTCGTACCTAGCGGTACGCCAACTTCCAGAGAGGAAAGGCGATTCTCGCAGAGGTTAATTGGGAGCTCGGGCAGGCGGGAGTCGACAGTCGGCAGGTTGGGCCACAAAGGTCAGCCGGCGGGTGCGTGGGCGACGCGCGGGAGTGCGCAAAGCGGGGTCGCTCTGTCGCTATTCATCACAGCGCACAAAGGATCGCCCACCCCCGCAAAACCGCTCCCCGCGACGCGACGCGACGCGACGCGACGCGACGGGGTAAATTTAAATCCTCGCCAGCGGTGGTGGCGGTGGTTCAGCTCTCTCAGATTCCCTTGCATGCAGCGAATCGTATTTCCATAGCGACACGCACCGCGTTACCCGCGGTGTTCTTTTCTCTTCGTGCAATAAAATTCAAATTATTCTGGAACGTACCAACAAGCATTTCGTGGAAGGAGAGGCTCCACGTGAAATATTCTGAAGTGAACCGGCGTTCTTTTTCTTTGGAATGTTTCGTTTATGCGGCAAAAGGACGATTCAGAGTGATATTTTGGGTTTTATTTCGTCGTCTTTGGGCGACTGCTTTTGTGTGGAGGATTTACGAAATACGTGTATTAAGACACTACAAAACGGCTCGTTGCGTGCAATATTTTATTCACTTAGAAGAAATTCCAATGAACTACAATGTTTGGTTAAATTCTACTATTCATCCTCCAAAATGTGATAGATTGATATTGTTTTAGAAATAGATGTATTTTGCACATAATACTGGGTATTTGGTTTGCTTATGTTTTACCTTAAAATCAAGGGTTACTTAAACCTTAGTTCGAAGTCATTGATTATTAGAAAACTTGTGTGAACAATTTTCCTTTTCATTACGAAAAGAATCATTGGTGTTAATTGTGACCCATTTATAGAACACTTGTGTACTATTAACTCTTATCATGAAACTGATTTCAGTTTTCTAAAGTTGGAATTAATCAAATTGAATAAAATTATTTCAGTAACGCGATTTGTATTGCATTTTTAAAATATATTATTGCGGAAATTACTAATTATATTTCGATACTATTTTTTCCTCCGCCCGTTCTAAATACGCTAAGAAGTATCACTAATTTATATTTTTTATATAAATTTCTTTATCTTTCTTTTATATTAAAATAACTTCCATATATTCTACGTAGGATTCGTGTTACTCAGAAACACTACAAGAAAATCAGTCACGTTTTTAAGGCTGGACGTGGAGAAAAGCATCTCGATAGCTATTTATCACAGACACTATGATAGCAACGGCGACAATTTTGTCACCGTTTCTTTCAAATCCTATATTGGAAATTTTTATGTGAATATTCTTCGAGCACATTTGTTTTGCTAACCGACAAATGAAAACAGATTTCAACACTTGACTTCGATGAATTTTGTTTTTCTTGAAGGCGCAAGACAATGAAGGATTATTTAACTACAATTTATTTCGATTTTTTAAAATATGTTAAATCATATGGTTAAAATATGTTTGAGAAGAGAATATAATAAAAGAAGTTTACACATTTGTTTTTGGTGATATAAATAAGAGAAATATTATTTGACGATTCAAACATTTATCTCAATGCGATCCTTTCGCAATTCCCAAATTATTTTACTTCATTTTATTGATCTTAAAGAATTTCTGACGAACGGAAAAGTACGATTGTTGACAATCGCACTTCTCCGGGTAGAATGACGTTGTCGGTATAAAAGTGTCCAAATGTCAAAGATCAAGAAGTCATACGGTGTCTTCCAGTGACCTTTTCCTTCTGGAAAGATCCAGACAATACTGCTTAAATTAGAAACCGTCTCGTATTTGGCAGAAATTTGTGTATCACGACAGATTATTTACTCCCTCCACCTTCCAATTTTCGACCTGTCATTTCATATTCATGTTGTTGCTTGTTGCATGACTGCAAAAAACGCGCCCACACTGACCGCCGTGAAAAATCAATGAGTCGGCCTTGAACCAAACTACTTACAAAAACAAGACTTATAAACCAACACGATATAGTATTTAAAATATCTTATTCCAACTATGCATGCGTGAAACTACCTACCCTGAAGAGTTTCATAAAAATACCTTGAGAACTTCCCGATAATTTTTAAGAAGTATTGTACTTGTCACGTATCATTACTACTGAGCACATTTCAAGTAATTTGAAGCATGCATGATAATTAATGAGGTTTAACATTCTTAAATATTAATGATCGAAACATAAGAAATTAATGGGATTGCACCCATTGTGAGTTCAAAAGTTGCGCTTGGAAATAAGGTCGATAACTACTTACTCTGTGTTCGCTGTTAGTCGGTGCCAAGAGCGAAATCGCGCCTTGTGTCACTGACAGTTGGGTCACAACGTAGCCTGCGCCGGGGATCCGAGTGTACGCTGTCCCGCGCGGCTGTTCTTGCACTACACAACCTTTGTAACTATGCAAGTAATGTGAAGCGCCGGGCGCTTTGCTTGACAGAGAAAAATTTGTACGGACCGACGTAGTACCGCAGCCGCCGTCCGTAGCGCTCACCTCTGGCGGCCCTCCCACACGGAGCCGCATGGCCTGCTAGTTCTCCCTCTCGCTACTGGAGGGTGCTGATTACATGTGTATCATGATTCAGTTGAGGTTAGTGTTGAAACAATGGTATCAACATTTTCGGTCGGCAAACTTATTTGATGCTGCCGTTCGTTACCATGGCTTGAAGGTTATTTCTTGACGTTCAGATTTCCAATTTTATTTGTATACATTAGGCATTCATTTACATACAATAAACGTAATTTTTATTTCTATCCTAGTTGAAAACAAAATATTTATGAATTACATTTTATTAGAATAGCTTTATGTATTCAGCATGCATCACTTAAATACATTAAATTTATTTCTATATATTCTGAGAAACGTTTGGAACAAGTTTGGACAAGTTTGGAACTATTTGTAGTCCCCCCAATGTTGTTTTACAGGTTTTTTTCTCATGAAGATGACAGTAGCAAACGGACAGAACTAAACATACCTTAACTCTTTCAATGGCTCTCGGCGAACTGTGCAACTTGTGAAGCAGGTAAAGAAGAGTAAAAACTTGTTTTTGAAGGACTGACTAATACACGCTAGAACACTGCACGCTGTCCACTCCCACGTCCTCGGTCTTGCACAGCCGGCAGGCGCGTCGCGTCCAAATGAAGCTGAGAAATGGCTAGTCACCGGAAGAGCACAGGCGCCTCGTCCAATGGACGACAGACAGAAGCGACATATACATTGAAACCTTGGGAGCAATCTTCCCAAGCGTTAATTTAAGTTTCCCACATCGATACCCTCCCTCTAAATCACAAGTTTTTGTATTTTGAGGGAGCATTGTCGTTCTAGAAATAATAATAATAATAATAATAATAATAATAATAATAATAATAATAATAATAATAATAATAAAATAATAATAATAAACTCTTTGTTGAGATTTTATAAATTTATTTAAAGAATTATTTCACTTCCCCGGGAGTTGAGGAGAAGAACCTAACATGATTTTGAATTTTCAAAAATTTCTCAGGATCTTTTCTTTTCTTTACATCTTATTCTTGGAGCAAAGGGCGCAATAGCATTATGGATTTATAGCAAAGTGACTGTGTTTAAGCAGTATAACTCCATGTTTAATAATGTACGACTTTTCTATATTGAATCCCGAATAAACAATTGGAACATTGTTACGAGAGAGATTTCCTCTGGCGCATCTTATCTTGCCATTCACATTCCATTCCTAACCATCTCTCCAACCCGTAGGCGGATGTAAGTCCCGTATCTTTCTCACAACTGGGACACGGTGGCGAGGAAGAGGCCAATATCCTATGCTCGACGTAAATGATACATTAAGGCGTTATAATCACCAGAACAACTACAATAATTATTAAGGAGCGAATTTCCATGATTTTCTATTTTTTGTCCATTGCTTCAGGGTGACATTTGTTTAGAATTGGATGCTACGTAGATTAATATCTTATTGAATATTTGTGCATATTTGGCCGACTTCTCCTGTTAGTGTACATTCGTGAAATTCTTTATATTTTGCACATTTCGTTAACATGGAGACTTATCTCTAAAACGTTTCATCATTTCACAGAATTTATTGATGTGTGAGAAATCATTGATTAGAGAGAGCTTGTCGTAGATTGAGTTATTTTGTTCATTCTTATAGTTGTTAAAATATTTTTGCAAATGTCCAAAATACTTGTGTAAAATACTTTAAATACTTTTTAAAACAGATAGAAGAAATGTACCGAGACATACTAAGGTGAATATTTACTTCAAATATTTCTCCTGCAAAATAAGATCAATTATATTATGTTAACACAAAAATATATATTTACATTCGAAGTGTGTTTCTCCTGAATTTTATCAAGAAACACTGGTACACGAAATAAAATAGTTATTTTTAATTGCATATTAAAGTGCATATTTACGAATTTTTTGGTCATAAATGCATATTTTTAAAAGAATATTTCAAGATTTTTTGGGGCATAAAAATCCTCTCCCTAATAATTATTACTAAGCTGTGGCCTGAAGCGCCATAAGCTAAGTATCTATTGAGTGACTCATTAAAACACTAAAAGAAACATTTTCTTCATTTGCGAAGGCACTGCAGACCTTAATGTATCATTCTGTGGCTTGACAGAATACAACACTAAACAAATTCACCAATCGCTCTTTTGAATCCATTGTTGTACGTGGAGATTTTAAGATTGATTTTTTGGTCGAATCTTGCGAGAAAGAGCAGTTTCCCAATTTAATTAATTCCTTCAGTTTAGATATTACAATAAAGTGCCTACACGGATCACATTAAATTCAAAGAAAGCAATCGATCAAATAATAATTTACAAAAACACTACTCGACATGAAATTGAAACAAAAGATTTAGGAAACAGTGATCACGATTCACAAATTCTTACCATTATAAGATTTGCGAATATTGACACAATAATTAATACACGTACGAGTAGATTATTTACTAAAAGGGAAATAAAATTATTCATCAATTACTTGCTGCAAGAGTCATGGTACGCTGTTTACAATACTGTTGATACAAACAATAAATACATTTTTTTCCAACGCTTTCATTCCATTTTAAAACTTGAGTTCCTCTTCAAAAGAGGAAATTAAATATTTCACGGAAAAGCAATTTTTGGATAACACAAGGGATTAGGACATCATGTAAAAAACAAACTAATTCTTTCTTCCTTTTCTAAGCATCATAACGTATCTCAAGGTTTCCTCCTCTACTTTAAAAAAAAGAAATCATTTTTGAGAAAAGTCATACCGCACGCTAAAATCATGAAACATGACCAGGATATTTTTAAGTCAAATAATAAAACAAAAGCAATGTGGAATATAGTAAAAAAAATTCGACCAAATCAACTAGAAACGTAGAAATTGTTGTTTTAAAAGATAACTATAGAAATGTGAACAATCCGGCAACATTGCCTAGCTTCTTTAAGCAATGTTTTTCAAGAATTGCTGCCGATCTCAGTAAGGGCCTTCAGCTACAAAATTCAGCATCAGACGTTTCCCCAAAAATTTTAGGCACGATGTTTGCTTCCGAAACTTTTTCCCATGAAATTCTGAAAATAATCGGTAGACTAAAAAATAAATATTCAGCCGGTTTAGATGAATTTCCGGATTATTTGTTAAAGGCTTGCGCGCCCGCCATTATACACCCCTTAACTCACATATTTAATGTATCCTTGTGCACAGGAACTATCCTAGATATTTTTAAAACGGCTTAGATTAAGCCGGTTTCCAAAAAAGGCAACAAAAATGAAATTACTAATTATCGACCAATCTCTCTTTTGCCGTTTTTTAAAAAATATTAGAGAGACTTTTTTACGTCCAAAAGGAAACATTTTTTTGTAAACACGGCGCGTTTTCAGATTGCCAACATGGGTTTCGAAAATCAAAATCTACGGAAACATCTATACTTTCTTTTCTTAAAGATGTCGCCTCATCCATGGATCAAAACGAAGCACCTATTGGAATATTTTTAGACCTTTCAAAAGTTTTTGACGCCATTGATCATAACATTTTACTCGCAAAATTATTACTCGGGCAACTTTTCTTGAACGATGGATTGACGATTTCGGGTGGAGTGGGGATATTAGTTACAAAGTCGGCCACTAGAGAATTTTAAGTAATGCCAACGTCTGTGAAATGAGTCAAAACTGCATCCTGTGCTTAACTTTTTCGGGAGTTTTAGGTGACTCTTTTGAATGACCTGGACTTGACTCAGCCATTTCTTTCGATATTGACAATAAATCTGAATAGGGGTTCTGCACTATGAAAGCAACTGGCTTTGACTAGCTTCTGTTTCGCACCAACGAAGTTTTAATGGTTGAAAGGTTGTCATCAGTGCCCGCGGCGAGCTTTTGCCTTCAACTGTTTATTGCACAAGGGAGGGGGATCAAGGTCATCGTTCAAGAAAAGTTGCGCGAGTAATACCTTCGTATAGAATTCGTGGTGGTGCTCTAGATTGGTTATATTCGTACCTTAAAACAACGATCTCAGAGAGTAGAAATACCATTGAATAATGGAATATTATGTACACACCTTTGTGATTCTTTGCCAATTGCATGTGGAGTCTCAGGGATCGATTTTAGGTCCTATTCTTTTCCTATTGTACGTAAAGTATATGTCCTCGAGAATTAGAAAGGGAAGAACAGTTCTCTTTGCGGATGATACGGATATTCTTTGCAATAAAGAAACCGTAAATAGTACTATAGCAGATATTTCATATTGGTTCCGTAATAACAAATTAATAGTAAATGAAAATAAAACTGTTTAATGCAGTTTTACATTTCAAATAAACAGCTCTGCACTTCACTGAAAATAAACGGCGTGCCATTGACTGATGTTAAGGTAACAAAGTGTTTAGGTTTTTCAATTCCGTCAAACCTTAAATGGAACGTCCATTTTAAAAAATTGAACACTAAATTAAGTTCTTTGTACTATTCTTTCAGAATTCTTTCAAATTCAGTCAGCCTACACACTGCTCATTGTGTATATTTCGCGAATTTCATTCCCGCCTGAGATATGGCATAATATTCTGGAGAAATACATCTTATAGATTACAAAAACGAATTGTACAAATAATAAATAAATCCCACCCCTCGTGATTTTTGTCCTCTCTTTATTCATCTGGGTATTTTACCATTATCTTGTCTCTAAATATATGAATCAGTGTTTTTTGTTAAAAATGACTAAAGGGCGGGAATATATTTTTAGCAAACCCCGTTGTCTATAACTACAACACTCGACGTAGTAATCATATTCATCAGGTGACAGTATCAATAGCTCACAACAAAAAAATGACATATAATGCATGTACATTATTTTACACCTTGCCAGATGCCATTAAACGATTAAATTCGATACAAAAGTTTAAGTCCCACGTAAAATCTTTTCTGCTGCACAACTGTTTCTATACAATTAGAGACTATACCGAGCATCCAAAAGGAAAGTAATATTAATTTTAACAATGACATTTAATGTAGTTTATACCATCTGTATTGTATAATTGTAAAGAACCTATAACAAGTATTGTACTTCTACTTTTGGGCCAATAACCCGCATCTCGATCAGGTTTTCGTGAAGTTTCCCTGATCCTCGAGGAAATGCTGAATGACCCCTTATTTTGCTTCTGGACAAAAATGTAACTTCAATTAACTTCTTCCCATTGCATGTCACATGCAGTTTTTAACAGTGTTTGACGTAAATAAATAGACGAACAAATAAATAGATAAATTCTCTAACAATAATATCTGCATCATTTGTTCATATGATATGGTGGAAAAATATACTTGACTTTCTAAGAAACCTGTAGGCAAACAAAAAAAAAATTGAAAATAAAATTTTAATTAAAAATGTTAATACATATATTTCAAAACTGACATTTTAAAGCTGAAAGCGAGGATAAAGTGTGCCGTAGCCTTCGTCGGAACCGTTATCTTCTTGTTGCAGCTGCTTTATGATGTCATCGTAGAGAAGTTTCTTGACATCCTTCGCCAAAATGAAATCGAGATGGTTGAAAGTCGGTAAAGGTACTAGATACTTCGACTTTTTGCACTGGAGATCCGTATACAAGGAATTCACATCCTGTAAAACATTAACATAATATTCAAAATTATACATTTATCTACATCGCCCATTACAATTAAACTGTAAACTGATATGTTCACTAGGAGGAAGGAAGTTTATGGTTCGTGTTCATACCATAAACTTGAGAGCGCAGGCTTCCGCGGCCGGAGTCAGTGTTTTCTTGGCTATCCGGGAGACGCCACGTCCAGGGCACAGGTGCCGACGTTTCGGTAACCTTCCTCAG